CTAAAGTAACACGTGAACATAAGAATTCCATTATAAATATGTCTCTACTTTCATTCATTCCAAACCACATTCATTCCAAGCAAAGTATTAACTTCCATCAAGTAAACATTTCTCCTCACAACCTACATTCATTCCAAGCCTCAAACATGTCTCTACTTACTATGGATGATGAACACAGAGGAATAATTGATAATATTGCAGCATTTGTAAGTTTTTTGGTTTATTTGTGTTATCTCCTCTTACTTAGTTGTTATGTCTTTATAACTAAGATTATTTATATTCTGTCAGGATGTAACGAGATTTCGTTGTCATGTACATGACTATATACCACATGATCCAATCGTAGAATCATACCTTGAATCACACGGTTTTGGTCATTTGATAAACGTCACTTCGTACTCAATTGACCCCAAATTTATTCTAACTTTACTAGAACGATGGATACCAAAGACCCATACATTTTATAATTCTTTGATGTTAACATTGTTTGCAAGATCCATAATTATTAATATATATACCTTCTTCTTTTTTTAATAAAATAATACATGTCCATAAGATTTCTTGCTCATATTTAATTATTAATATTCAATATTAAAAAACTTCCAAATTTTTAAAATCAAATCCATTGTTGACTTAAAGTTTAAGTTTAATGATATTCTTATTAGTACTATTACTATGTGTGGTTTTAAATAATAATGGTGATAATTTCTCTAGTTTAAATAAAACTTACATATGCTTTATTCTCAAACTTAAAGGGTCTGTTTGGATTGATGGAAAGGGATGGAATGGAGTGGAGTGGAGTAGAGTGGAGTTATGTTCCATTGTTTAGATTTACAAAACTTGAATGGAATGGAATGGAGTATGATGGAACACATTCCATCAAATACCACTATTTTGGCCCATTTTTCATTCCCCCAAATTGGGGTGTATCCAATGGAATGGAATCAATTAATAAAACAGTTACAATTTTATCCTTCAAATTTTCACTTTTATTATTAACCGTTCCTATTCCTTATTTCAATCAACGTGATATTTTTCTATTCATTCGCTGCAGTTTTTCTCCTTCACAGACCTTCTTCTTGCTTACAAAGAGTCTATCTTTCTTCTACCTTAATAAGGTACATCATATTTCTTCTCATTTTTTACCTGTATTTATATGTGTGCTCTATTAAACTAAATATCTTGATTTATCTTCATGTTCATGTCTTTTTCATTTTTCAGAAATTAGGTATAGTTACTAAAAATAAAATCTAAAATTATGATTTATGTTGCTTTATAGTGTTTTTTGTTATGTTAAATTAACTTTTTTATTAAGAACAAAAGTAAAAATTAGATTTGTTGCAAAACTACTGTTCCTGTTGTTTTTCACTACTATTCACGTTGATTGTATTCTTATTATGTATAGAGAAAAACTAAAATTAGTTACTGTGACATAAAATTGGCTAATAATATTATGTAGTATAATAGGAAAATAATTATTAGTAACATAAGTTTTGATTTGCTATAAAGATTTTATTTGTATATGAATTTATACTTAGAGTAAATTTTACTGGTTAATTTTTTATAGATGACTAACGAAGACATAAGAATCAAGTATATGAAATTGGTTCAAATGATGATTCTTCAAGTATCTATCATTATTGTTCTAATATGTTCGCTAAAAAACAAGCGTAGAAGATCCCAAATACCTTATAGAATCACAGAGCAAAGAGAGAAAGTTAGAAATGAGTTGATGAAACATATTGTAGGAAGTGAGTGATGTTATGATAGCATTCGAATGGGTCCCAAAGCTTTCTTAAACTTGTGCACCTTATTACAAGATCAAGGTGGACTTACACATACACAAAAAGCGTCTATCGAAGAATAAGTAGCAAATATTCTTCATATAGTAGGACATAATGTTAAAAATCGTGTGATGTCCTTCTTTTTTAGAAGCTCCAGTGTAATTGTTAGTCGTGATTTTCATAGAGTGCTAGATGCTTTGATAGAGGTGGAGGGAAATTTTTTAAAACATCCTGATGGAACACAAGTGCCTCCGCAGATACTTAACAGCCATAGATTCTACCCGTATTTTAAGGAAAATAAATTTTTTGTCTTATAGAAATATTGATTAGTTTGTACACTTTTAATATATAAATTTAATGTCAGGACTGTATTGGAGCAATTGATTGCACGCATGTGCGTGTTAAAGTTCCAATAGAACTCACACCTAGATACCGTGGTAGAAAAGATTATCCCACACAAAATGTGTTAGCTGCGTGCTTATTTGACTTGAAATTTACATATGTCTTGGTTGGATGAGAATGAACTGCTTCTGACTCAAGAATAGTTAAGAGTGTGTTGGCACATGCACACCCTCTTAAAGTTCCACAAGGTAATAAAAAGTAATAAAAGATATTTGTATAAGTATTTAGATTAGCTAAACTAATGAACTCGTTATTTTTTTTTTTAGGAAAAAAATTATATGGGTGATGCGGGATTTCCTTTAAAAGTATGTCTCATTACACCGTATAGGGGAGAATGATACCACTTAAAAGAATACTCTAGAAATCCACCTCGAAACCCTCGTGAGTTATTCAACCATCGACATTCGTCATTACGAATGTCTATTGAATGTGCATTTGGTGTGTTTAAGAAAAGATTTCCAATTTTACAAATTGCAACAAAGTCTACATTTGATATTAAAACTCAAAATAAAATCATCCTTATTTGTTGCATTTTACACAACTATTTGATGGGTGAAGACCCCAATCAAACTCTAATTGATGAGGTGTAAGATGAGCTTGCAAACGAAAGAGATGTTCAAGAGGGCCATCAAGATCATAGAGAAGAAAACAATGATATGATTAGCAGAGAGCCAATTAGAGATAATGTTGTTGTTTCTATGTGGCTAGATTATTAAAATTATTCTTAATGATTTGTTACTCTTATGAATAATGTTTTGAAGAATTTTATTTGGATTGAATTTTTTATTTGTAATTTGTGGAATGAATTTTAGTGTATGATGAACCTTTACATTTGAATTTGTGCATAAGTTATTATATCTTCATTGTGTTTTTTTAATAATAGACATGGAAGCAAGTTTAAAGAGGCCGAGGAAACTCAAAAGTCTAGAAACATGCAATTGGACAACTGCTATGGATGAAGTTTTGCTTGATGCATATTTGTATCAACAAACATTGGGAAATAAAAATGGTAATAGTATGACAACAAGCACTATGGATAACATTCTTAAAAAATTGAAGACTCACTTTCCAGACAAACCAATTTCCAAAGAAAAAATAAAAGATCACATGAAACACATCAAAACAAAGTTCAATTCTTGTTATGATCTTTTCCAGAATGGCTTGAGTGGGTTTGGATGGGATTCAACAACAAATATGTGAATTTCCGAAGATGAAGTTTGGAACAAGCTAATTGAGGTATTATTTACTATAATTGTTTAATACACTTACCCGATTATTTTTATTTGAGTTCACTCATTAAAAACTTTTTTAAGTGATGCATTGTTTCGTTTATTTTGGTGTAGGAAAAACTCGAAGCTGCTGAATGGAAAAACAAGCCAATATTATTTTATGATAAATTGGCCAAATTTTTTGGAAAAGGTCGAGCAACAGGAGAGCATGAAGGTACAACTGTTGAAGTGAGAGCAAAAAAGGCTGCAAATGTTGAAAAAAGTCATGACACAACCATCAAAGAAATAGACCACTTAGTTGAAACCAATGAAGTTATTTTGGAGGGATTTGATGATGATGAACATCATTCCAACAATTCTCCTACAAGGCCTTCTATTACCAATTCTCAAGATGTATCGTCATCTAGGACTAAGAAGCGAGTAAAGAAGGTTATTGAAGATGATACAAGCATGATTGAGATTTCCAAAACTTTCAAAAAAATGATTGATGTGTTTGAAATGAATTCCATGAAACTGATCAAACAGAGTAAAAATGCTAATGGTGGAGATATTTGGGCTGAATTGGTCGAGATTGGGGTTGGACCAAGTTCTTTGCCTCTTGTATACATGTACCTTGTTAAGAATGTCAATGCATTGAAAGCTTTTAATGGAATTCCAATCGATAAGCGGAAGAAAATGTTACATCTCATTGTTCCAGACTATCCCTTTTGATAATGGTAACATATTTATTTATCACTTTTGAGTATTTTTTTTATATCTTTAACAAATGAAATATTTGTGTAATTTATTTTATTTTGTTTTTGCAGGTTTTGTGAAATGCTTAAAGAAGAGAGTCATTATCTATTATGGATTAATATTTGTCTTTTTCATTAGCAAGACTTGATATCATTATCTACTATAGACATATATTTATCATTTAATTTTAGCAAAACTTGATTTTGTTTATGAATTACTATGAATACCCAATATGGTGTTGATCAAAACTTGTGCATTTGGTCTTTGCAATTTCGAGTTATAATAACCACGTTTCATTTATGAACATTATAATTTATTACTGTATATTTTAATTTCTTTCAAGAATTTAGTTGATATTTTTCTATGATTATTTATATATTATTTTAGTGTGAGAATGTTGGATCTATCAATATTATAACAAAGGATAAAAATGGAATAAAAAAATTATAATGCTATCCGCCCAGTCCAATTTTCAAACAGTAGACTGAGATATTAGTTCCGCTCCGTTGTAAAATTTATTTGATTCCGTTCCATTCTACTCCATTCTATTCTGTTCTGTTATTTTTAAATTATCCAAATATAGTCAAAATGACAAATTAGTTATTGATTAATTGAATGGTTTTAAATTTCTTTTTATACAAGAGTCAAATCCATTTTAGTTATTGATATCCATTTGCGACAAATTATACAAAAAGGTGTTAAGTGTGTATCTAAATCCGCAGCACAATTCGCCAAAAATTCCATCGACGATAAATCCAAACATTTTCGCACCAGAAAAATAAAAAACCGCACACACCCTCATCCACTATCCATTCCGAATCATCACAGAATCACACACACTCACACATAGATGGGAACTGGTTCATCGAAGGACACAGACGGCGGTTCAGAAGGAACCAAAGACACACTCGACGATGATCAATCAGGTCGACAACTCTACGTTTCTCTCAAGATGGAGAATCACAAACTCACTGCTCACCTTGTTCCTCATGTTTACGGCTCTGTTCCTCTCGTTGGCTCTTGGGAGTCTTCCAAAGCTGTAATTTTCTGTTTCTTCATCAATCTTCTTTCTAATTTTCTTCTTTTTTTACTAAATTGTGACTTTCTTTTAGCTTTCTATGGAGCGAGAATCGGTTTCAATGTGGGAACTTAGCTTCGTTGTTCCACCTAATCACGGTAATGCTTTGTTTTTTATTTTTTGCTTTCTTAGCTTTTACTCTACTTTTATGTTTCTCTATTTTTTTAAAGTCAAACGTGTGGTGTGGAGTACTTTTTTTAACAACTTGTCAGTTAGATAGATAAGATTCTTAACAGACACATGTGAAAAAGATATATTAAAATAATTCTTATGACAATTTTGAATTTTTTTAATCTGCATAGAGTGAATGATGAATAAACTTACCTTAAGTGAGAATCTAGAAGTGTTTTTGATGGTGTTTAAGTGTAGGATAATCTTATCTCAATTGACAATGACAATCACTTATGAGCTAGAAGTTACTCATAACCTCTGAAGCACTGACACCTATGAAAAAAGGCGTGTCTTTGTCAGTGTCGGTGTTTGAAATTGATACTTACATTTGTGATTAAGTTTTGTTCATTTTTTCAAATTATTACTTGTGTCGACATGTAAGTGTCGGTGTCGTGTTTCAGGTATCCGTGCTTCATAGCGCATAAGTTATAAGTTAATTAAAGCTCTAAATGACTTCACAAAAGTATGGTCAATGAAACAGTGAATAATGTCTTGAGATTCTGAGGTTAGGGGGGAGGGGGGAATGTGAAATGTCACTCTAAACAATAGCTTTGTTGCTTTCGTGATAGTATGGTATTTGGTGGAGTTGTCATTTTTGTGAAATGAATGAAGTTTGGATAAAATATGGTAATCATTGAAGATGTGTTTCGTCTTTGGAGCTGATTGATTTCTTGATGTGGGATATTCAGAAACTTTGGATTTCAAATTCTTATTGAAGCCTAAAGATAGCGATGTGCCTTGTTTTGTTGAGGAGGGTCCTACTCGCCAACTTATTGGGGGAGCACTGAGGGAGGATGCCAAACTTGCATTGTTTAAGGTTGATAGCGGGGAGGTTCTTGAGTATCAAGTATTTGTTAAAGCAGACAGGGTTTCTCCCTTTGACCTTGCGGCTAGTTGGAGGGCTTATCAGGAGAATTTCCGTCCTTCGGCTGTACGTGGGATTCCCGATGTCAGCATAAGCTCTACACCTCAGACAGGTGGCGAGGTAAGGCCAAACTGCCAGTTTACTCTCTGTTCTTTTCGGTTGCGTCATTCACATAAAATAGCGGTCTGTTTGATTTTTCTATGCTTCAGTGCCACTATAATTTCTATTTGACATCATAAACAATAGCCGTTGGTTCAAGTTTTGCTATGCTTTAGCACCACTATAGCCGCTATTTGATAACACTGGTTATTTTACCTCTTGAAAGATATCATAATGATCTTTTAAAATTTAAATCCATATTTAATGAACGTGTTTCTTCTGTTTTAAGTTTCATATTATGCAACTAGACTGAAATACAATCCTTCTTATTGGCCACCTTCAGTTTTCTTTGTATACAACTCATTATTCTGATTGCATGTATTGTGATGGTGTGTACATACATGATATCTTGCTCTCAAAACGAGAACTTTTTCTTGTCATCGGCATTTTTAATTTATACTTAAGTTAGTTTCTCCTTTGGTTTTTCTATAGGTAGTGCAGTCAGGATTTTCATCAATCCCTTCAAATTTTGTTGTCTCTCCATGCGGGGCTATAGTTTATTACTTTGCTTTGTAGTACATTTCTAACCTGAGATAGATGTTATGCGAAACGGTTATTGTCAAGGTTTGGTTGATTTAAGATTACTTTATTTTTTGTTTAGAATGGTTCTTCTGCAGGTTTGGAACTTGATCTTGAGCATTATGTTGTCCCAGCTCCCTCAACCTCTGCAAATTCAGCCCATGTATATGCAGCCAACAATACAGAGAATCCACGGTCACTAATAAGCGAGTCTGATGGAAGTTCATATTCCACTAAGGTTTAACATTCAAATTCATATTTAAAATTATGATTCTGTCATGATTATTCTTTCTAGATGGACTATTAGTTCAATACAGATTGTTGTAGGAAAAGAGGATAATTGATTATTAATTGTATTTTGATAAGATTTTACTTGGTTCAAGCTTGCCCTGATTTTCTCCGTTCCTCAATTTTAACTAGCAGAGAGATGCTGGATATTATAATGTGCTAATTTGGCACTCTCTCTCATGAATATGTGTATATGGACATGTGTGTGTGTGTGTATACTATCTCCCACTCCGATAACATAACTTGATCTTTAATCTTCGTTAGTAGCAAATAACAGTCTATAGAATGTTTAACATGAGAGTGCACTTCCTGGAAACACATAAAAAAAGACGCTGATAGCTTATGTTGTCGTTCCGACCAGGGGATGGAGGTTATTGTGCCAGATCCATCTAAGGTGTTTCAAAGTTCGGGAATGGTTGAATCCAAGTCAGTGGGAACATTTTCACCTCTGCAAAAGCACGATAGTCAGAAAGGACATTTTGTTGATAGAGGTGTTGGATCTCCTAGACTTGTAAGATCTTCTAGTTCAAATATTTTCTGCGGTCATAATTTGGGCACTGGTACCAAGGTTTGTACAAACAGTTTCCATTTACTGTTAAATATTTGAATTCATTGCATGTAAATTAATTGCTTGTTTCCTTGCTTTTTCATTGGTAGAATTCAATGCCAGCTGCTGCTGGAGCTGTTGCAGCTGCAGCTGTTGCTGATCAGATGCTGGGGTTAAAGGAGGATAGACATTTGGCGATTGTTCTGGTATTATTCTAGCATTATGAGCAGTTACGGAATAAGTTTCATAGTTTTTAAAAGAGATATGATTCGAAATGCAAAAATATATATCAAAAGTTGTAATTTGGGAATACCTGGCGAAAATGCCATATTTATATTTGTAGTTTTACTAATTTAGTAGTATATTTAAGCTTATGAAAATAAATTATTGTAGTTTTTTCTAAGTAGTTTGTTTTATGTAGGTGGGTCTGCCAGCTCGAGGCAAAACTTTTACTGCGGCTAAACTTACAAGATATCTTCGTTGGTTAGGTCATGATACCAAACACTTCAATGTCGGGAAGGTTGTTTGCATTCTTAGCCATCTTTTTCTTTCATAGTTGATATGCTTGCATTTATTGGAAAACTGGAAATATGTCAAGTTTGAAGTTTAACACATTTACTTTTGGATGTTGCAGTATCGCCGCCTTAAGCATGGAGCTAATCAGGTAAACTTTATTACAAGAATCTGTTAAACGCATTGTTCTAAAAAATAGACTGCTTATCAACCCGGTCAAGGTACTGGCTCAATGGTTGGACTGCATGACAGTTGACCCAGTTAATATCTATTTAATTTTTTTGCTTAATACTTTATCTATTATTAATATTAAAAATTAAAATGCATTTTTAAGGTTATTATTATTATTTTAAGAAAGGTAGTGAGGTGTAATAACAAAGCAAGTAACCCGTTCATAAAAAAATAGACAAGTAATCAGTACCTGTGAAAAAAATAGACAAGTAATCATCAGTACCTGTGAAAAAAATAGACAAGTAATCAGTACCTGTGAAAAAAATAAATGACATTCAAATCAGATTTGTGAATTGCTTAGATAAATTTAAAGCACTTAAATACCATCAACAACCAACTGGGCAAGTAACAAAATGCAGAACCATATTGTTATTTTGAGCCGTGTTTGAATATGAGAGGTTAGCGATTTCTAATTATTCATTTTTTTTTCAAAAACCAGCAGTAACCATTCTCTTTGAACCTTGCCGGTCCAGGTTTTACAAGTTTATGTGGTTTTGACCAGTCAAACCATACTTTGAGAGGTTCATGGGTCTGGTTCCCGGTTTGACCAGTTCGGTTTTAAAACTATGGTTAAATCAAATGGTTTATGCCTTCTTATTTAATAATGGTTATCTGCAGGACTACATTATATACTGTTTAATAACACAAACGTTTTCACTATTGCTGAAATTTATAAATAAGACAGTTAAAGAAGCTCTGATATTAGGGAAGAATTCTATAAATATATTTTAAATCTAACATCCATCATGATATAATATGATGTTTTGTACTTTGGAGGGTCATGAAAGTTTCAATATTTCCGCATGTGAATAAGACGGTGGATACTTAATTCTATTCTGAAATGTTAGTTGTATTTTTGAAATCACAATGTTGTTGCACTAGCCTATCATGTTTTCTTGGGTAATCTTTATTTATTCATTTATTTCGTATACCTCTTTGCAGTCTGCTGATTTCTTTCGAGCTGACAATCCAGAAGGCATGGAGGCACGTGATGAGGTAGTTTAATTTTGATCTTTTTAAATATTATTATTATTATTATTATTATTATTATTATTATTATTATTATTATTATTATTATTATTATTATTATTATTATTATTATTATTATTATTATTATTATTATTTAATGCAGTCTTTGAGACCCTAAGAGTTTTTACTTGCATATTAGGCTATACCTAGAATTCTGATAGCGATGCTTGTATAATTTGTTGAATCTTATTTCATTCGATGGACTATCTAATTTCTTAAGACTTATGCATTTAACAAGAATTATTTCATCATTTAGTCTTTTAAGAAAACCTTACTAAGTACTTTGATTTTAAATCAGATGCAGCATCTTTTTTTTATATAAAAATATAATAATAATAATAATAATAATTGTAATTTGAGTTTGGAGATTCAAAGTTATTCCAAGTACAGCAGGGGCAAGAACTAAATGATTGGCATAATTTAATCCTTTTGTGTATGGTGAAATGGTTGATTGATATAATAATGCAAAATGAATTGGATAACACAATTTATCAAATATAAGCAACAATTTGACCCCTCTGGGTATTCTACTTCTGCCATTTTGAATGAGTGTGTTAGTGGAAAGCAACACCACCCGGAAAATGTAGAGTAGAAGGTGAAAAAAGTCACATTGGTTTAGTAACAAGTTAAAACTATTTTAACCTTTAATAGAATTCTGTTTTTAATATTTCATTTGCATTGGATGATTCTGATAATGTTGACACCGTGTTGACCTTTGTTTGTGTACATAGTTTTAATATATCGCGTGCCACTAGGTAGCAGCGCTGGCATTTGAAGATATGTTATCTTGGATGCATGAAGGTGGCCAGGTAGGTTCAATTTTATCAGTAGTTTTGTTAATGTTATACATTCTTTCGTGTTATTTTGCATAAGGTTTAATTTATGTTTAGGTTGGGATATTTGATGCCACAAACAGTAACAGGAGACGAAGAAACATGCTGATGAAATTGGCTGAGGAAAAGTGCAAGGTAAACGGTTAAGTGTATGATATGAAAATGATAGATTTAACTTTGAACTCATCAGATCCATCTTTGTGTTTTCATTGCAGATTATCTTCCTGGAAACAATATGCAATGATGTAAACATAATTGAGAAAAATATTCGTCTAAAAATTCAACAAAGTCCAGACTATGCAGAAGAGTAATTTTTCATTTAAAACCATTGACATCATTTCTTGATTGCCATGTCAATACATATTCAATTAACTTCCATTTGCAGGCCAGATTTTGAGGCTGGATTGGCAGACTTTAAAAATCGTCTGGCCAACTATGAGAAGGCAAGTTTTAAAATGGGTTTCTCTATTTCATGATTGTTTTTTTAAATGTGATTTTCCTGTTATAATGTTGATTTTGTATTACCAGGTTTATGAGCCAGTTGGAGAAGGATCTTACATAAAAATGATTGATAAAGTCAGTGGACATGGTGGACAAATACAAGTAAGTTTAGCCTGAATCAACATTATTACCCCTGTTCATAGCTCATTATATGGCAACTGAAATTTGACAGTTGAAAGGTGATAGTATGAAATAATATCAAACAAAAAATCCTTGATATGATTATCATAACTGTATAAGGCGTGTTGATTATTATTAGTGGTAATAAGAACGTTAAAACTCAGCAGTTGGGTGTATTGAACGCATTTTACCTCTTCTCCACTGGGTTGCCCATGTGATTGGATTTGATTAGTTTAACTAATTCTGTTTACTGAATTAGGCGAGGTTTGTAACTTTTATCAGACTAGCAGAAACTAACTGTAAATTGTTGTTGCAGCGACACACTGGATCTTAAGAATGATATATTGGAAACTGAAATCTGAAATGGACTAGTTTTGCATCAAACTTTAAATAACTCCAGTACCTTGATTTCCCTTTATGCCTGTCATAAATATTTATTTTATGGTTGTCTGAAAGCACACAATTCAAGACATGTCTGTTCTGTAAAAACTTAGAAAGTATTATTTCTGGGATGTGAAAGTATTAGGGTATACAACAGATCAGTTACCAGTATCAGAACTAGCACAGTAGACTACAGGCGAGCTTGTAAAAGTCATCAGTCGGTGCTTTAGTTGATTGGTGGAAAATGTACGGTAATTGACAGGGTTGGTAAGCACCGACTTTAGGACTTTTATCCTGTCTACAACTTGATCAACTCTTCTTATTTTTATGTGAACATTAGCTTTAGATTGATTGTAGAGTACCTGTTTGCCTATGCACGTGCTCTCCCTTTTTAGTTTCAAGTGTGACTTTGATTTGTTAATCATTCCCAACTTGTGTGGTTTAGGTGAACAATATCAGTGGCTATCTTCCTGGACGAATTGTCTTTTTCTTGGTAAGTTTTTCTGAACCAATATTATTAAGTTACTGGAAATGCGTATCAGACGTATCTGTTATCCTGGGAGGATACTACGTTCCTTACTACTCACTCTTATAATCCATCATGTTAGAATTGTTTTGGCCTTGTACAATGACATGCACAAGCATAGTTTTGTATTGGCTTTTTGGAAAGTAATGCCTTCTAGGACTTTTAGGAAGTAGAAAATTTCACAACTTAACTGACTTGTTTGGTTTGGAAAATGTTTTCTTTTTTCATCTATCGCATGTTCTTTTACTTTTAATCACAAATGCTATTTTTATTTCTTGTTCTTTGAAATATTCTTATAGGAAATATTGAAAACAATAAAATGATTGTTTTTTTATGTCATGTTTATACATTTCTATGTAAATATGTTTTCAGGTAAATACACATCTCACACCTCGGCCAATTTTACTTACTCGACATGGAGAAAGTCAGGATAATGTGAGAGGCAGAATCGGAGGAGATGCCGCAATAAGGTACTTTGTTGATTTTTTTTGTCTATTCAGTAGCTATATCCTGTGCAATCTGTAATGTTCATGTTCTGGAGAACATGGAATGTAAAAAGAGAAGAAATATGCAATAGAAACTGGTACCTAACATATAGAAATCTAAAGGAAATAGGTGACTTTTATTGAACAATTCTAGATCTTGTGGCCAGAATTTGGACTACAGCTGACAATCTAGTTTACAGAATTATAAAAGAGAAACCAAAGGAAAATTAAGACAGACACATCATATACAAGAAATTCCAGAGTCTTGGTCTCACCCTTCCAAAAATTCGAGCGTTTTGTCTCTCCCAATTAATATCCAGTACCAAAACAAATTCCTAGTGACTTTTCCTTTGATTTTCCTATTTATTTAATGACTATCTAAGAACATAACTTCTGCCTAATACGAAAATGCTTCCTAATTATATCATAAATTACTAATAAGAGGTCTAACAATATGAAAGTAAATGAAAAATCTGGTTGCCATTTCAATCAATTAACTACTCTGAAAGTGCAGCATATGATTGGGATTTGGGACCTTTAAGCTTCCACATGTCTTATTTTTCTTACTACCCTCACTTGAAGAAATAAGGCTTGTAGTCATCTACTTCTTGTGTTATAGCACAATTGGTTTCCTAAGGAAGGGAAATATTAGTTTTTCCATTGGAAACTTCAACGTAAGGGCTCTCATAGTCTCTTGGCAAGGTAAAATAGTGAAATAGTTCCAGCTCCTCTATGTTGAATTGGTTCTAATGTACTCTTCTTTTTCAAAGTGATAGCTGGTATTTGTGTGAATTGCTTTCAAGTTTTATCTGACTAACTAAAACACTGTGCAACATGATATAACAGTGAGGCTGGAGAACTTTATTCAAAGAAGCTTGCCAACTTTGTCGAAAAGCGTCTCAAATCAGAACGGGCTGCTTCTGTAAGCTTCTTTAATTATATAAGTTCAGTTTCTGGCTTTTTCCTTGGGACACGTCAAGATCTCACTTTGACTAGAGATATAGTTCAAGTAGTTCTTATAATGCTTGACAATTTTCCTCTTAAGAAGGTTTTTAGATTTGTGTCAGGTTAGGCCTATTCTAAATTGTAAGAGAGCTCAATGCTTGCATGCAACTGATGTGTGAGAACTGTCATTTTCCAAAATTGCATGAAATATTCATTTTGAGCTGTGACCGCATCAATAATGGCATGGTGAATCTGCCAAACATCATCAGGAGTAATAAAATATTTTTTTTTGACCACGTTAAAGGGTGTAGCAGTCTTCCATCACTTATTTACCCTTAATTTTTTTTTTTAAAACTGAATGATTCAGATTGAAAGGGTGAATTTGGGAAGATTAAGAATACAAGTTATAGGTGTATAAGTTTCATTTCTTTAAACTAAATATCAGCTATTGAATTCTATGGCGGATATTGTATGTGATTGGGATGATTTTTTAATTCAGTAAAAATGGAGCTGATAGGGGGTGGTCTGCAGGGGACATAAGAACCTATTTCCATGGAGCAGGCTCCTTACTGAGAATGTGTTAAACGTCACAGGCTGTTGGGCTTGAATGAAACTTGAATTTAACACTAACATAATGCACACAATGTTTTCATGAATTTTTTGTATTCACTTGTTCATGTAGGCAAAGTTTAATGCTGAATGAGTTCTGATATCAGTTTAGTGCATTTATAAATGTTCACACACATCGAATTGATGAGTAATTTGTGGTATTTGTAACTGGTGATCTAGATATGGACTAGCACACTGCAGCGAACCATTCTGACGGCAAGTCCAATTGTTGGTTTTCCCAAGGTTAGTGTCATCCTTTACCTAATGGTTCCATTGCATGCAGTTGTGTGATTCATGCCAGGAAAAGTGGGTTGACAAATTTACACATCAATGTGTTCCGACACTTATAATTTTTTTGTTTGTTAGATCCAATGGCGTGCACTTGATGAGATAAATGCCGGGGTTTGTGATGGTATGACATACGAAGAAATCAAGAAAAACAGGCCAGAGGAGTATGAGTATGTCGCACTTGCATGTTAAATATAACTCAAATATCAGATAAAAAACAATAGTGTGGAACTTTTTTCGGGGGATAAAGGGACAATTATGTTTAAATGCCATAGTTAATTTCCTTCCCCCTCATTGTAGATCCCGCAAGAAGGACAAGCTTAGGTATCGATATCCACGCGGGGAGTCATATTTGGATGTCATTCAAAGGTTGATACCTTTTATCTTATACACATTATTTACCTCCTGAATTCTACTTGTTTAATATAACTAACTTTTTGTGATAAAAAATACAGGTTAGAGCCTGTAATTATCGAGCTTGAGCGACAACGAGCGCCTGTTGTAGTTATATCTCACCAGGTTGTATACAAGACATTAAGCTACATCTGCACTTATACAGGCTCTTTGTGGTTGACTTATTCTAATCCTTGAGGTTCTTCTATAATGATTTCTCATTTCAGGCAGTTTTGAGGGCATTATATGCTTATTTTGCTGACAGACCTTTGAAAGAAGTTCCACATATAGAGGTAATTTGTGGTTTCATATTTCACCGCAGCTTTGTCGGCATTAAGGAAGAATAAAACATTATAACTTTTAAAACATTGATTCTTTGCTGTTATTTTAGTGGAATGAAGATTCATTTTCCATAAAAAAATCTGTCAACACACTTCTGTGAGATTCATCATGTAATTTAAGAGAAATAATCACTTTTGTTGAATGATGAATGTGGAATGAAATTAACTAACTTGAGATTTGTCATATTTCTAGATGCCTCTTCATACCATAATAGAGATACAAATGGGAGTTACAGGTGTTCAAGAGAAAAGGTACAAACTAATGGACTGAAATTAAATGATGAAAAATTAAGTTACTAATATTGTGGCTTAATGAACCAATTATCCATTCTTCCAATTTCAATTTATTAACAAAATGTAATATATTCCCGTGAATGGACTACATTGTAAAAAAATACCATAGTGAAGGGAACCGATGCTCTTCAAATTCAATGTCATATTTCATTTCAAATGTAAATGGTGTCTCTTACAGAAACATTGCATATTGCACATATTCTACATAATCATAAGTTAGCTCTTGATTGGAATTGAAAAAATAATACATAATGTGATAGTATTTTCAATGTATTATTAGTTTTATGTTTGTTATAGTAATTAACACTCCAAATATGTGTCTATGGTGGTTCATTATATTTATTTTTATGATAAGTCGTATTTGACAAAATAAATATTTCTATTATTGAGAAAAGAATAACAATGACAAGACAAGAATTCTCTTCAATATCTTATTCTCTCTATTTCTTTTGTTTTGACTACAACATACATATTTATACTAGAGAAAAATGCATAACAATCTTTCGTTCCGAGTGATTATAAACAATATTACACTATTCAAATGAGTGGTGACTTCAATTTGTTAATTATTTGCAACGAGCTTATGACAACACCACAATTTTTGGTAGAAGTTCACTCTCTATGGAAGAAGCAAAAATGTCATTGCTGTCTTGGAAACCAAAAAGGTGAATCTAAGATTCATATGAGGGAACCAACTCAGATGATGGTCTAATGATAAGAGGAATAATAGAGGAAAGGAAAAAAAACTTACAAAGAATGCGATCAAAGTCACGCAACAAGAATAAGAACAATAATATATGCCTTAATTGTGAAAGAGAATAGCATTGAAAGAAAAATTGTTCAAAGCTCAAGAGAAACAAAACAAGCACTTCAGAGTTTGGTGGATGAATTGTTGCCTCAAAAGAATCATATCAAGGAAATGTTCTTTTTGTCTCATCTAATGTTAATAATGATGATTGGATTTTTGATTCAGCATGTACATTCCATATGACACCTAACAAAGACTGGTTTGCCACATTTCAAGAAATTGAAGGTGACAAAGTTCTGATGGAGGATGAGGTTCTCGCAGCATAGCTGGCAAAGGTACGATGCAAATCAAGATGGTTGATGGTATTGTGAGAATATTAAGTGATGTGAGATATGTGCCAAACTCAGGAAGAATTTAATTTCTTTGAGCACTTTAGATTTCCTTGGATGTACATATAGAGCTGAAAGTGGAGTCTTAATAGTCTTTAGAGGTTCATTGATAATTATGAAGAGATGATTGAAGAATGTACTATATATACTGCAAGGCAGCAATGTGGTAGGTGCAATTGTAGATTCTCCAAAGTAGTTTTGGACAGAGACAAATCATACCACCTCAAACGCTATAAGGAATTTGTTGTTTCTGCACTTAACATGGCAGAAAACATTGACGAACAAGAACAAAGTTCATTCCATGAAGCAGTTACTTGTTATGAAGCATAACAGTGGATTGGTGCAATGAAAGATGAGCTCGAATCCCTCCACAAGAATCATACTTAGGAGCTTGTTGAGAAACCATATGATAAGAAGATAATGGATTGTTAGTAGATTTCAAGAAAAAAAGATTGAACTAGGTAGAAATCAAGGTCAGTAGCAAAAGGTTTTACATAAAGGAAAATTATTGACTTTAATGAAGTTTTTCTCTATTTTAAATCACATTTCCATTAAAGTTCTTCTTACTTTAGTGACTTTGTATGACATGGAGTTAGAACAAATGGATGTGATGACAACCTTTCCTTATGGTGATTTTGAGGAAAGTATTTACATGCAGCAACCAAAATGATTTGTTGTACCAAGAAAAGATGATGATGTGTGTCTACTTAAGAAATTAATATATGGGTTAAAACAGCCACCCATGCAGCGATATAAATAAACATGTTGACTCATTTATGGTTGATATTGGGTATTTAATAAGTGCTTATAATAGTTGTGTTTATCATAAGAGATTATTTGAAGGCTCTTATGTTTACTTGCTACTTTATGTCAATGACATGCTAATTGCATGTAAGTGTGACACCCGAGGCCGACGAATGGTCGTCGATGAATAAGACATGATAATGAGCTGTTTTTGAAAGTTTCTAGGGAAAAATCAAATTGGGTGACAATATGGAAACAACAATGGTTAGGGGGTTTGTCCAATAGCCCCAAAATCCTTTAGAAAATTTGAAAAAAAGTTTAGGTTCCAAAAAAGCAAAAAAAACAAAACACAAAATGGGAGCTTGGAAGCATCTCATGAATCTATGCCATATGAAAATGTACACGAGGCTATCACGAAATTGATTGCTTATAGGGCAAATCACTTACAATAGTCCCAAAATCCTTTTAGAAAATTCAAAAAACTTTTTAGGTTCCAATAACAAAATCAGAAAATTTAAAAAGCGAAAAAGTAAAACACAAAACGAGAGCTTGGAAGCATCTCAATGAATCAATGCCATATGAAAATGTACACGATGCTACCATGAAATTGATTGCTTCTAGTACAAATCACTTACATGACAACCAAAACGGCTTTAGACGAAGCGATTTAAAAACATTACTTAATTCTTAATAATGCATAATTGACTTCATGATGATTCCTTAAGATTGATACACAACAAACCTAAGCTTATACATTAAATGTTTATAAGAAAGGTCTAACCTGTATGGTATACAATCAAATGTGATCTTGGAAATATGAGTGAATGAATGCTTGCAAAATAAAGGGATACGGAAAGGAAAGATACACAGAGATATATAGTGCTTCAAGATTCAACCCCACTTTGCCATCAGAACATAATCACTGTCTTACACTATGATGATAAAATGATTACAGTGTTTTAATTACAAAGAACTATCACACAATAATTCCTATAATGATGCAACATTAAAATGCTAACACAATACAAGACCCCTCAAGATCTTGATCCAATAACCTCGCTATCCACATTATCCTGCTCCAAGTATTTGTGTGTGACGATCCCCCTGATCCCACCAATTTAGACAACTCCCAACTTTTTCTGCAAGTAATCTTTCTCCAACGCCACCAAAGAAGAACAACTTCCAACTCTACCCTATGGACCATTGATACTTGATTATGCCAAAGTCTTCCTTGGAGTACAATGGAAAAAACACACAAATATAAAAAGAAGAGAACTAAATAAAATAAAACACACAAATAAAATCCAATTTAAACCAAAAGCCAATACACAAGATGTCATACATAGTGAATTATAAACACAAATCGCATATAAGATAAATAATGCAAATACGTAATATAAAAAAAAGATAACAAGATAAAATTAACAATATAATGAATATCAGAGATAACAAAATAACATGAATTAAGATCATAAAATCCACATGGTACACTATTCAAAACAAAGATCAACATGTCACAAAATAGTAGTCCAAATCATAATAAACATAATCACTACTAGGAAAAACACACATAATAAACATAATCACTACTAGGAAAAACACATATAAAAACACATATAATAACGCCCGCGTTAAAATCTTATTGAACCACCTATAACCACGTTTGATTTAATATTTTTTAAATCAACCATGGTTATAAATCAAAAGGTATGTCAATATTTTTTAAAAATAAGTAAATAATAAAAAATGTTGGTTTTGGGATTTGGACCCATGACCATACACCACTTTTAACCGCGGGTATTAAATCAAACGTGGTTATAGGTGGTTCAATAAGATTTTAAAAAATGCATGAGGCTAAATATCACATATTACAACGGTTGATTGAATATTCATTGTAACGCGGGCGTTATTATATGTGTTTTTCTTAGTAGTGATTATGTTTATTATGATTTGGACTACTATTTTGTGACCTGTTGATCTTTATTTTGATTAGTGTACCATGTGGATTTTATGATCTTAATTCATGTTATTTTTTTATCTCTGATATTCATTATATTGTTAATTTTATCTTGTTATCTTTTTTTTATATTACGTATTTGCATTATTTATCTTATATGCGATTTGTCCATTGTGTTTATAATTCACTAAGTATGACATCTTGTGTATTGGCTTTTGGTTTAACTTGGATTTTATGTGTGTGTTTTATTTTATTTAGTTCTCTTCCTTTTATATTTGACAAAGGGGGAGAAGTAGATGAGATATTGTCGATACTTATGCACATTAATTGTTTAATGCAAGGGAAGCTTTACAACTTTTACGACTCAAGGGAATTATTGTGTGATAGTCATCAAATTGGCTATATTCCACCAAATTCCAAATGTCGTTTTGGATTAGTTCATCAGCAATGATCTCACTATTTTTCCAAACATAAAAAAGGGGGAGACTGAAAGCACATAGTATCATTCAGTATTGTTTACATAATTTAAGTATCAATTATGGTTTAATGTTTTAAAATTATATTATTGTTTCATTGTGTATTTGTAATTTGTCTGTTATTTCATTTCATCTATGTGATTGTAACATTTTTTCCATTTGATTGTAATCGCTTCGGCTACTTAAATTGTACCACTGAGAACCTTTTTACATTTCATGATATATTCATTTAATCCTTGTTAGCTATTCATCTGATTTTGTTATTGGAACCTAAAAAGTTTTTTGAATTTTCTAAAAGGATTCTGGGGCTATTGTAAGTGACTTGCCCTATAAGCAATCAATTTCGTGATAGCCTTGTGTACATTTTCATATGGCATAGATTCATGAGATGCTTCCAAGCTCCCATTTTGTGTTTTTTTTTTTTTTTTTGCTTTTTTGGGACCTAAACTTTTTTTCAAATTTTCTAAAGGATTTTGGGGCTATTGGACAAACCCCCTAAACATTGTTGTTTCCATATTGTCACCCAATTTGATTTTTTCCTAGAAACTTTCAAAAACAGCTCATCATCATGTCTTATTCACCGACGACCATTCGTCGGCCTCGGGTGTCACACTTACATGCAATTAGCATGTCATTGACATAAAGTAGCAAGTAAACATAAGA